CCCCAAAACCCCAAAACCCCAAAACCCCAAAACCCCTTTGGGCAAAAATAATATTGAACTATAATTCCTGCTTTTTGGAAATTTCTTCAATATTTTCTTCTTCATTTTCCTCTTGGTCTTCCTCTTCAAAGCCGCCTTCAGGATCTTCGTCTCTAATAACTGGCTCTTCTTCTTGGACTTCTTGCTTCTCATCGCTAGGGAAGGTCTTTTCATACAGAAGATGGAGTACTCTTTCTTGTGAGAGAAGTAGCTCAATTACTCTATCCCTATCATGGTCGGTGAACTCAATGTTATCAATGGCATTTAGCTTCTTGCCTTTCTTTTGTATCTTATTAATAGCTGCAGTCTTAGGATCTCTGTTCCTTTTCTTGATCTCCTTCTGAACCTGCTGAACTCACTCTTTAAGCATTTCTTCAAGCTCAGTTTTCATGTTCATTTCAGATTGATACTGATTCCTTGCTCCTTTTAAATTTTTTCTTTCAAATTCAAGATTTTTCTTTAATTTCTCGATGATCCTTTCATATCTATGGATTTTATCCTCCTCACTTTCTTGTGGGCCTGGTCCAAAAGACGCTGCGAAGTTCTCTCCGATAGTCTTCTGACCAATATGCCCCATCCCAGAGCTCTGCCTAAGACTCTCTGCATTGGTAATATTCCTCTTTGAGTTCTTCTTTCTGGAATTCATGAGGTTCTTTCCTTTCTTTTTAGACATTGAGGATTTGGATGGGGAGCGATCGAGATCAATCTGTTCTCCATCATCTTCTTTCTTTTCTTCAATAATTTTGTCGTAGTAGTCTATATTTTACTGTTTATCGATACCGATTTCTTCCTTGATTTTCCCATTTTCTTTCTTGAGCATGACAAGCTGCTTGAGGAGAAGTTCTCTGTCATTCTCTTGGTTCTGGTATTCCTTACGTAACTCAGAGTTCTTCTTCATCAAAGTTCTGTTCTCGTTTTCGATTCTCTGTGCGATATTGGTGATGACTTCTAAGTGCTGGTTTAATTGGTTCTCTCTGTCTTTAAGCTCTTCTTTAGACATCCCTTTGGTGTTTTTACTATTCTCAATTTCTACCTTGAGCTTGTTGACAGTAAATTTCCGTACAATATCATTCTCCTGCTCTTCCTTTAAGTTCTGAATTTTGTCCTGAATTCCATCAATATTTGAGTGGAGTTCGTCACGAAGAGCCTGGATTACTTTAAAGTTCTTATCAGTAGCGTCAACTTCATAGCCAAGTCTAATCCTGAGTTCTCTCTGAAGGTCTTCAATATGCCTAAAAGATGATTAAAACTGATTTTACCTTCTATATTCCTGCTCTCGTTTGAGATATCTTGCTTGTCTCCTCTTAAAGTCATCGTTAAGTTTGGAATTGATTTCCTTCTGTTTTCTTAATTTCTCCTCTTCATCATCAGCGAGGAGCTTATAGTCAGCAGGACGCCAGTCCTGCTCGCCTTTATAGGACGGCTCATAATTACTCCTGCCTTTCTTCTTGTGAGAGGATTCACCAAGATGGTTTCCACTATGAGTGGGAGAACTAGAGCCATGATCGCCTGTAAACTTTGAATTCATTTTATTTAAACTATTTTATCTATATAAAATTATTGCAGAGGGGTTTTGGGGTTTTGGGGTTTTGGGGG